CAGAGTGGAGGGACAGCGCAGGAGAGGAAGACCCTCTATGAGGTGGATTGATTCAGTGACTGGGGTCATCAGGATGGGTGTGTCAGAGGCAATGAGACTGACACAGGATAGAGCACAGTTTGGGGCTGTTGTACATAGGGTCGCTATGAGTCGCAAACGACTCGACGGCACATAACAACAACAACAACATGAATCATACAACTTCATTTACATTAAGAGACATACTCACATAATAGTTGTCATTTATCTGAACCATTGGAGCATTTACACAAGCACCTAAACATTCCACTTCTGTAAGAGTGAAGAGCTTGTCAGGTGTAGTCTCTCCAACCTTTATTCCTAAAAACAGAAAAGTTCACTGTAAGAAATGAGTTGTGTTTTAATAGTGACTTTAAGAGGAAATGATAAACACATTACAGATGGATATAAAGTGTACAACAGCATTAAATTTAAAATTTCAAGAATGGAATTAATACTGTAAGTATCAGATATATTAATTTTTCATTGTTATACAGAAGATTTGTGAAAATGACTTGAAATAGGTAAAAACCACACCCAACTATAATCAGAATTTATATGGGTGGTTGGGGATTTGGACTTTAGATTTGTTTTATAAATCACTTAACAGAATTATAAATGCAGTAAGTATCCCTATCATTCGTATGGAAAAATAGCATTTTATTTTATAAATGCTACTATAACATTTACTTTTTCCCCCCTCCAAAGCACTTTATTTCATATCTATAACATTTACTTTTAATTTACCATACTAAAGCAATCTCATTATGTGCATATTTGTTCCATGGCTCCTTTGGAATACATGGACAAGATAGTGTTTCTGTTTTATGTACCACATTGTTGTTATTGTTATGTGCCATCGAGTTGCTTGCGACTCATAGTGACCCTATGTACACGAGCCCTGATCCCTGCTATATCCTGTGTCAACCTCATTGTCTCCGACACACATATTCCCACTACCCCAATCACCGAATCGATCCACTTCATCGAGGGTCTTCCTCTCCTGTGCTGTCCCTCCACTCTCCCAAACACGGTGTCCCTCTCCAAGGACCTCCTTGCAACATGCCCAATGTATGTCAGACAAAGCTTCAGAATCCCTGACTCCAAGGAGAAGTCCGGCTTCACCCCCTGCAGGACAAACCTGTTTGTTTTCCTAGCAGTCCATGGTATATGCAACACTCTTCTCCAGCACCACAGCTCAAAGGCATCAATTCTCTATCATCCCTAGTCACTGTCCAGCTCTCTGATGCATAGCACGCATCAGCTTGGATCAGGCACACTTTAGTCTCCAGCCTGACGTCCTTGCTCTTCAGTACTCTGGAGAAGTCCCTGACAGCTGAATTTCCCAATGCAATTTGTCTCCTGATTTCCTGGCTGCTGGTACCAAGAGCGTTGGCTGTAGAGTCAAGCAAACTAAAACTGTTAACAACCTCAATCTCTTCACCATCCATAATGATGCTGCCACTTGGCCCAGTGGTGAGAATCTTTGTTCCATATTGAAGGCTGCAGTCCTTAACCTTCTGCAACAAGTGCTTCAGGTCCTTCTCAGTTTCAGCAAGCTGGGTTGTGTTATCTGCATAACACAGGTTGTTGTTGAATCTTCCACCAATCCTGATGCTACATTTCTCTTCATACAGCCCAGTGTCCTGGACGATCTGTTCTGCATATACCACATTATTATACAAAAAGTAAAATTTTTGTGAACAGAGAAAATTTTAAAACTCCTAGAAACTTTGCAAATAAAAAAATTGAAAAAAAAAAAAAAAAAAGGAAAAGAAACAATGAAAACTCAGTTTTGAGGCTGACAAAAAGGAAGAACATAAAACCTTGAAGAAATTTGGTGGGCAAGGACAGTAAGACAAAAATTTACTTGACAAGTACAGATATATTTAAGTAACAGATACTGGATATGTTAGTCAGTAACAGATCAACTCTCAAATGAAATGCTCAACGTGAAAAGGATTTAAAGCATTTACTGAAGATCAAAGCTTTCAGTATAGATTACACCTCAACCAATAAGCAATGTTAGGATAAATGTAAAGACTTAAGTAAAAAAAATTCATTTTATTTGGAGCCACAATCAATACCCATGGAAGTAGAAGTTAAGAAATCAAAAGAAGTATTGCACTTTTCAAGCGGATAGGGCTCCCACAAACATGGTCAACATTGCCAAAACTTGTTGGATTTTTTTCCAAGAAGTGTGGCAAGCACCAACCTCACAAAGCAACAGAGTACAAGAAGGGCAGAGACTCTTTATGGGCTCTGGGAAAGTGAAGTTATGATAGGAAGCAGAGTGGCTATGGTGGGTGGACCAAGTCAATTTTTTTTGAAAAGATGAAAACTATAAAGAAGATTGTGTTAAGACTCTAATGTATTGAGCCAAACCGCAGGTCTAAAAGAATGTTGGCTATCACTTTGAACTGGGAGGAGATAAAAAGTGATCAAGTGATGCAGTTCTAAGCTTCATCTTGTTTTATCAAGACAATAAACTCGTTGAGATTTACATGGGTTTTTTTTGCTTTGTTTTTTGTTTTAAAAGACATACTGTGCTTTCTACGAAGATGGCGCCGAAAGCAAAGAAGGAAGCCCCTGCCCCTCCCAAAACTGAAGCCAAAGCAAAGGCATTGAAGGCCAAGAAGGCAG